TCGAAAACGCTATAAGATTCACCCTGCATAGTTTGGCTAAAACTTCATCCAATATTGATTATATTGGAAATGCATTCATCAACATTTCTTAAAGTAAAGTCAATATTATCCATGGAACAAATAAATGCAAACATGGCACAATAATAATTATAAAACATTGGATTTATATTGAAAGTGCATTCGACATTATTTAGCAACTTGATATGAATATTATTCAGCTAATATTGATTTAATAATATTGATCTAATAATGATACAATATTAAATCGATATTACACAATAGATTAGTAACTAAATAAGAGGTGTCCGTCTTACAATATTGAACCAATGTTGAGCAATTATTTTCCAATATTACACCAATATGTATACTATTATGCTACCAGGGATTAGTTTTATGTATACATATGTATACGATGGATATCCAGAAAGTAAGTTCCAACGTCTGTTAAAAACAGCAAGAATTATATGTGCTGAAAATATGTGTTGTTAATTGAAATATACACCTTATGCTATTTTTCTACATCATCCGCGCTATTGTTGAGACATTTATTATAGCGAGATACCAAGCGTATCTCTTTGTCATTAAAACCTCATCATCATCATGGAATCGTCGGCCAGCAAGGGAGGATTTTAAATGTAGAAGCAGTTGATAATCGCTATATTGGAGATCGGCGGAAGAGACACCTGATCACGTGCACGCACTGTGATCGACGGCTGTTCGGATACCAATAATAATTCTGTTTTGTTGACATGGGCTCTTGTGCGGAGTCACCGCAAGTCGGTCGTTGGCAGAAACGTTCAGCCGAACGATGGAATATTCTAGATGATGACTACCCATACAGCACAAAAACCTTTCAGAAATATTTCAGAAATATTTCATGTGATAGATTGAAACGTATATATACGATAGATAGAAACATAAATATTGCAAAATGTTTCTGCAATAGCTCTGAGACAGCTCTGCAACAGTAAAATGTCCGCGATTCTTACACTTGAAAGCTTATAGAAAGGTTTCTGTAAGGTTACAAAAATCTCTTAGAAATATTTCAGAAATATCGCAAAATGTTTCTGCAATAGCTCTGAGACAGCTATGAAACTGTAAAATGTCCGCGATTCTTACACTTGAAACTTTATAGAAAGGTTTCTGAAAAATTATACTAAAAGCCGTTTTTTCCAAGTGTCAGGTAGCTTACCTCTGATAGTTAAAAAGCATACATATATGTATAGTATGTGTTACGTATACTATACTTTTTAACCATCAGGTAAGCTACCTAACACTTAGAACAATCGGCCCTAAGAAATTTGCAGCTTTTCTGAAATATTGCTAAAAAGTTACTAAAATCTTTTTGAAATAATAATAATAATACTGAAGACTAATTGAAATATTTGTGTTAACG